ATCTGTTTTTAGTTCACCAGGAAAACACACAGTCACTACACTTAACCGCATACTCTGCGAAATGTGTTTCAATGTGAAAGTGCTGTATCAAATTCAAGGATGATGGACCTTTTCATTTCTCTCCCCGTCTCGCCCTCTATATATTAGAGATTTTTTTAGCTGCCCTCCATGGTCGTGCGTCCCCCTACCTCTGCGACCTCCTAACCCCATGTCAGCCTGTCTGCTCCCTCTGCTTGGCGGACACCGACCTGCTTCAGATCCCCCGCACTTCCCGCCCCACCATTGGTGGCTGGACACGTTGTTGAGATGTCTCAAAGCGCTTCACAGAATACATTGTAAAATGAATTAACTGTGTATTTTGTGGGCAAACCGCGGCAGCCAATTGCGCACAGCAGAGTCCCACAATAGTGGATTGAGTGACCATTGTTGTTGAGGGATTATTAGCTCTGGAAAGCAATCCGCCAATCGACTAACATCTGGCTTCCTACTTTCTGCTAGGTAAACAGAGGCACGTGGAGTAAGGAAACTTAGGTTTTGTCCCTCCTAGGAATCGAACCTGGGACCTTGCGAGGCGAGTGCGCTAACCACTAAGCTGCAGGACTCCTAGAGAGCATTCAGATGTGAAAATCATCGCTTGCATCGCACTAAGTTCAATACGTTCCCCCCCTGAGCTCCCAATAGTTTATACATTGTAACCACACAACTGCTTATTGAACACAGACTCTCGGGTGAAAGAATTCTAAGACCGTACAGCACGGAAACAGCTCAGCCCAACCAGTCTGTGCCACATGGGTCTCCACCTATTCCTTTATCTCCAACCCCCTTCTATTCCGCTCTCCCTCAAGTGAAGGTCCAGCTTCCTCTTGAATGAACCTACACTACCTGAATCAACCACCGCTTCAAGCAGTGAGTTCCAGAATCTCACTCCCCTTTCCTTGAAGTAATTCCTCCTAAATTCTCTGTTTGATCCCCAAGTCACTATCTTATTTTTGTGTCCCCCTAGTTACAGACTCCCTAACCAGTGGAAACAGCCTATTCATGTTAACCTTATCAAATCATTTTATAATTTGAAACACTTCTGTTAGGTTCCCCCCTTAAACGTCTCTGCTCCAGTAAAAAAAAGGTCAATTAAACTTCAGACCCTTTGTCCTAGCAACTAACAACAACAACAACAAAATTACACTTATTGAGCGCCTTTCACGTCGGGAGGACGTCCCAAAGCGCTGACACGAACACAGCGACACACTGCAGTGCTCAATTTGTCATGTGAGAAAAGTTACAACTCTGGTCGAGCGGTGTCCACTGATAAATGTTGATGCGAGTGTTATTAATACACTGGGTTCTGCCAAGGCTAATACGCTTGTTTACCGGTTATCACCACTTGCTTAGGGAGAGTACCTGAAAAGCCTTTGGGAATCAGTTTTCCTGTCACCATATATTTGCATAAATGACTGTCTGCTCATCCTACAGGCCTCGTGCATCAAGATTACACATCTGACCATGCGGTTCAATGCGCAATTTATAATGACCCCTGCAGTGACGACCTGAAATCTACTGCTGATTAGTTGCTGCATAAAGGTTTTAAAAAGTAGGTACAAAAATCAGAAGGTCAGTCAGATCCCGAGAGAGAAAAAGAGAGGGTGAGAGCCCAAGACACAGCAAGAGAGAGATAACTCCCCCCCCCCCCCCCACACCGAGCAATGGGAATTTGCATAAAATTGCAAGCATAGTTACACAGAAGCAATATGAGCTACTGGTAACTCTTTTATTTTGGTCAGCCAGGTTTCTGATACATGTGGAAACCCATGCTTAAGAGTATCCAAACCATTCCAGAGATAGATATTTGGAATGGAATGTGTTCTCTCTCCTGGAAGGACGCACCCTGCTTACCTAATTCCGGAGATTATTAGGCACAGGTTGTAAAGAACCAAGGCTTAGTAGCCCCAGAATGCGCATTGGGGTACTGCTGGAGTCTAACCAGCTAAAGTCACATAGCTTTCCATTGATAGCACTGCCTGGCAAGCTTTCCCACTGGGAAAGGAATACCCATTGGGGCTTTGGCTTGCAGGGTTAACAGGAGCTGAGTAGGAGGATTCCTTGCCCTAGTGACTGCCTACACCTCCAGTCTAGACTCCTGTTTACTAGGATTTCAGTGAAATGGGAAAGTTTGTGTGTGTAGAAGTTTGCACTGAGAAAGACCGAGTGGCACAGTTAGAGATAGTGTGCTCCGTGGCACAGTCCGGACAGTCTGAGTGACACAAATGTTTTTTGTAGGAGGTCAGCCAAGGACCAGCCATCACCATGCTTACATTTCTGCATTAAACTGCTGAGACTCCCACTTGCTTATTATTTCCCTTTGTCTGGTATAGAGTGCGCACTCTCTCTCCCCAGAGGGACGCACCCCGCTCACCTCATCCCGCAGGTTAGCTCAAGGCTCCAAGGTGACATGTTATGCGACGGAATGTCGGAATCGAGCCAGCCCTCTGTGGCGGTCTCTGTAGCCAGGCAGGACCGCAGTACTCCAGGGCACTGCTGATGACAGCATAGCCAGCCTGGCTCATCAGCAGGACTTGGAAAGTAGACCATTCACTGGTGCAAGGAATCCTCCCACTCAGCTTCTGTTAACCCTACAAGCCAAAGCCCTAACAGGTAGGGTGGTCCTAGTTGGACAAACAGTGGGAAAGATTACCAGACAGTGCCATCAATGGCAAACTATGTGGTTTTAGCTGGTTAGACTCCAGCAGCACCTCAATGCACACTCGGGGGTCCCCAAGCCTTGGCTCTTGCCAACCTGTGCCTAATATTTTCCGGAATTAGGTAAGCAACAAAAACAACAAAATTACATTTGTATAACGCCTTTCACGTCGGGAGGACGTCCCAGCAGGATGCATCTCCACTAGGGAGAGAAAGCACATTCCATTCCAATAATCTATCTCTGAGATTTCCATGTGTAGGTGGGATGCATGGAATTCTAAGTTTGGTTTGGATACTCTTGAGCATGGTGATGGGTTTCTCCATGTTTCAGACACCCGGCTGACCAAAACAACAAAAAAATCTGATTAGAGTGGAGGAGATTAGAATGAGAGAAAAGACAGGGAAGTGAATGTACTGCGAGGAAGAACTTTATTCCAGTAGGAACTGTTATACTCACCTAGTGTGCAAGGCAAGGATTATTAAATAGAGCACTGGTCTTGGCGGCAGGTTCAATGAGGCTTTACCCTGGGAAAGAACTGCTAATAGTGCTTTCAAATATCTGGAACAAATAGTGAACTTTAAAAGGCTCTGAGTTAACGACTGATTAACCGATCTGTGTGATGTGTGAAATGGAAATGTAAAAAGCACAGGCTGGAGTTGTGACCATTGACGATGCCGGGTTATGCCTGCTGATTTAATCGCTGAGATGGGTAATTACAATTTTTACGGTGAAGAGAGAGAGGAATTAAAGCTTCTCCTGTCCCCGCGCATAATGCTTCTGAAAGGCAGGCCTCTGGGTGTTGTATACCAGTCACCTCCCAGTTACCCCAGGCCAGAGGGTCCTCAAATTGCTCTGCACCCTAGCCTGTACCAGCATATTTTGTTGTAAGCTTTAAGGCACCTGGCTAATCAATGACTGTAACAGGAAGGGTGGTGGAGGCAAGGACACTGGGACTCATTTAAAAAGCAGCTTGATGCTGTGATGGGAGATGGTAGTGTGATTGGGGGGGGGTTCTGGAGGGATGAGATCAGATGGGCAGAAAGGGCCTTCTTCATTCAGATCAAGCTTGTGATCTTGTGACGTGAAAAAATTATTTGCTTCAGACTTAGTTTGGAAGCTGGTTTTATTTTGAACAACTGCAATTGGCTTCTAAACAGGGACTGGATTCAGAAATTCTGCACCAATCCAGGCGATCTTAAACCATAACAGCAAACAGGCGAAGGCTGGTGGAATCCCAGTGCCTCAGGGGACAACAGCCAATTTTAAGCAACCATAGGACAAGACAGGACAGGCTGGAGAAGGCCTCCACAAGATCAGTTTGGATGAAGAACCTTTGGCCCATCTGATCTCATCTCTCCTGAACACCCACCCTACTGTCCCCCCATCACTGCATCAAACTACTTTTCAAATGAGTCCCAGTGTCCTAGCCTCAAACACTCTTCCTGGCAAGTCTGTTCCAGTCATTGCTTACCCTCTGGGTAAAAAATATTTTCCTGGTGTCTGTCCTGAAATTGTGTGTTCGTGCACAGGAGGGGCTGGACAGGCTGGTTTCATTCTCGAACCTATTACCCCTTCCAGTGGCGGATGGAATAAAACAAAATGTCAGCGTAAAACTAAAACCCAGGTCGCGACTGAGTGAAGTCTCAAAACCTCTGCAGGCGGCTCCAGGTGGACTGGAAAGGGAAGATTGGACCACTCGGGACATTGCAGGATAATTTGTGCATACAATCCTCTGACAGGGAATTAAAAGTGTCCATATCACACAGGATATTTCAACTTTCCTTTTTTCCCTCTCTTTCTGGGAGGCTGATTTTCACTCTCAGACCTCCTGACACCAATTGTTCACCAAGACAGTAAATTGTAAATTGAATTGTGGGTCCTGCTGCCAGGCCTCACACACGACCGGAGAGGAGCACTGTCTCTTTCTCTCTTCCCTTGACAGTGGCGATCGGGGGGCGGGTCCACGGGGGGCTCTGCTCACCACTTCTTTTAGGTGATCAGAAAAGCCTGATGCACAATCTCCTTCCACAACCTGCAACTAGTGATGTAGCAGTGGCCGATCAATAGCAAACACCTCACTCGCAGACTCACGTCTGAGCCACCCTATCTGCAGGTGAAACCTTCCACCGACAGCCAAGACGAGGCACTGGCATGAGTGGTAGAGTTCACAAGAGGCTTTTGGATGAACAAAGTTCTTTTGATCTCATTGTTAACCTCCCGTTACAGTCATGAAATGAACCCACAACATGCAAACTCTAGCCAATAAAAGCGATCCCAGATCAGTAGCTGTAAAGACATTACTAACCTTCTGCTGTGCCCGAAATGCCATCTGCTTTGAAGTTGCTGGTGCTTTTCTTTCTGCGATGCTTCTTCCTGTTAGCGTGAGGGGAAGGTGGGGGCTCCAGCTTGGGGCTGGTGGTGCTGGAAATACTGGGGCTTGAACACACCGAATCTCCCAGGCCGGTATCTTCAACACAGAAAAACAATTCAATTTACAATAGTCAGAAGCATTCTTACCTTTGATATAGCTCCTGGGGGGTAAGGGAGGTGGGGAAAGATAGCTACAAATGGCCAACATACATCATCAGAGTCCCCAAAACCGATTGTGATCAGGCCTTCTGTAACATTTCAGATTGTGCAGAATTTTGGAGAGGGTCTCATACTCAGCCTTCATTTGGAAAACGGTTTGCAGTGATTCTTAAATTTTAAGACAACGGACGTGAGGCTAAGGACTGAGTGCAGGAAGGGACTGCACTCTGTGCTCTCAGTGGAGACCATTACCAGATCAGCGGGATGGCAGCAACGTGTAGCATGGGTTGGTTGGTAATAGTAGAGTCTATAGTGTGGTGGTTAGCACGCTCGTCTCGGAAGCGAGGGGATCTGGGTTCAATTCCCGGGCAAGGCGAAATCTTAGGCAAGTTACCTTCCTCCACACACCTGTTTACCTAGCAGTAAGTTGGACCCGATTGTTAATTGATTGGGGTTTGAACCCACAAGTTCCCAATCGCTTTTTCGGGGGTAATAATCCCTCAAAAAAAAATTGGTCACTCAACCCATTACTGTTTATGGGATATTGCTGTGCAAAATTGGCTGCCGCGTTTCGCCCACAAAAATAAACAAGTCAATCCACATTTCAATATATTCTATGATGTGCTTTGAGAGGTCTCCAAAGACGTGATAAGGTACTATATCAAATGCAAGGTTTATTATTATTAATACAGGGAAATCCCTGTAGCAGGGGTCTAAAAGAAGCATCAATCACATGCTGTCCATCTGTTTGTGGGACCTTGCTGTTCGCTTATCGATACTGTGAATCACTTTGATATCGCAAGTGTGATAATAATAATAATGCAATACAGTACCCATCACATCAGGAGGTTTTCTCAAAGTGCTTCACAGAAATTTCTGTGTAGTGGAGTGACTGTGTTTTGCAGATGAACGCAAGGATAAAATGCAGGGATGATCATCATCATTGCTTGTAATATCTTATTCCTTGCTTAAAAATGTACAAGAAGATGTTTGCTGGCGTGACCCCGGCGAGTGCACCCCCCACCCAAAACACACACACTCGCCCACTCGCTCACCATTGTATTAAAGCCACTGTCCCTTTAAACAGGATAAAAGGCCCACTTCAAATCCCTTGTTAATAATGATTTGGTTCCGCATGCTGCATCGTGTAACTATCAATTTCTATACTAATTGCTGACATGTAAGCCTGACTTGAAGAGAAAGGGAATATTAATTACGATAATTGGAAAATGTTTTACATATAATGTGGTACGTGTAATCTGTGCATAATTTGCAAAGCAAAGGAACATATGGGCATCAGCTTAGCGGAGCATTTACTGCATGACAACAGTAATGATACTAACCACACAATGTACCAGCACTGGTAGGTATCAGCCGGGCTCCGTTGGAGGCACTCTTGCCTCTGGGTTGGGAACTTGTGGGTTCAAACCCCAACCTGGGGAGTTTGAGTTCACAGTCTAGATTGACGGTCCAGTGCTGCTGAGTGCTCCGAGACGCAACCCTGCGTGGAGGGTGCTATATAAGTACAAGTTGTTGTTGTTGTTGCTGAGGTGAGCTCTGCATTGTCCTTTGGATGAGATTTTAAACCGAGATCCCATCTGCCTGTTCATGCCTATTAAAGATCCTGTGGTGCTACTCAAAAAGGGAGTTTCTTCCAATGTCCCGGCCAACAATCAAGTCAGATAAAATCGGTCATTCCCTTCATGGCGGTTTGTGGGACATTGCTGTGTAAATTGGCTGCCACATTCATCAACAAATACATAGTCACTACGCTTCAAAGTAAATCCTGTGAAATGCTTTGAGATGTCTACCCAATGTAATGTGAAAGAGACTATGTCAACTGCGAAGATTATTTACTTAGAATTTTAAAAATAATTATAATATCCTTACATATGCTTCAGCACCTTTCACTTAACCTTGGAAGTATCTATAAAAAGAAACTTCACAGGATATTCTGTAAGGTGAAGTAGCTGTGTTTTTATACCAAATGTAAGGAATATAATTAGTGCTGTATCAAACGCAAATATTATTATTATTCGATTTCACAAGACCTATCAGCTGGAATCATCCTTCACTGTTAGCCAGGGCTCCGGCTCGCAGTGTTAAGGACGTGATTACAGGCATCTTGCTAACCACAAAGACCTGGGCTGGTTCAGGACCAAACCGTTGTGCCAAAGTGGTGAGGGAGGTGTGCTCACCAAACCTGCTGAAAGTTGTGGTGCTAGTTTTTGGCAATGTGATAACAAATGTTGCATTTTAAACCCTGTTGGCACTAACCATAGTGTTCCAACAACAACAAATTGGGAGTGACCAGGGATCTCACTCAGACAACTACTAAAGGTCGGGTGCCTGTGTTTAGGAACCACTGGACATACATCATATATTTTTACAGCACTTGAGGCGGAGTGGGTGGGCAGAGGCAGTGATGACATAATGGGGGGGAGGGGGAACTGCTCCCCCAGCGGCCTTTAGGCACCTTTACCTCCTGCTCTCTTTCCATCGCTCTCCACACTGTTTGGTACAATCTCATGAGAGGCAGCTTGGGGAGTGACAGGCGCTACTAATGCACCTCCCCCCATCCTTTGCAAAACCCGGCTCGACCACTGGGTAGGGATGAGCTTTAGAGAAATGGTGGGGGAGAGGGGGGGGAGATGAGTTCTAGCTGCTGGAACACTGGAGAACAGACACAAGTTGGCAGAGGGAGGTGAAGCACATCCCCGGAGTTGGTGTGTACGAGCAGTGAGATGTTATTTGCCATGCAAGATTACTTTTATTACACATTACAGTGATGTGTGGCATCAAAGATTCAGTCTTTAATGGACTGTACTGGCAGGCAGGCAGGCAGGCACCAAAAGGGATGTTGTTCAGTCTGTTTTTTTNACTGTTCTGCAAATTACTCTTTTCGCAGGTCAGAATGGTAGAGACACAGGACGAGCCATGTTACTCACTCTTACACACGCGCGTGCACACACATAGTCACAGGTACTTATATACAACAACTTGCATTTATATAGTGCTCCTCATGCAGGGTAGTGTCCCAGAGCGCTTGACAGTGGTGGAGCACAACGCAGAGCCGGGGGAAGGTGGGAGGTGACCATAAGCACAGTCAAAGAGGAAAGACTTCAGGCGTGACCTGAAGAGGGGGAAGGAAGGGGTAGGGTGGAGGGATAGAGGAAGAGTGTTCCAGAGTAGTGGCTGAAAGTGCGGCCACCGATGGTGGAACGGAGGGCACGGGGAACGTGCAGAAGGCTGGAGCCAATCGAGAGGAGACAGTGGGTTGTGACTTGGGGAGCTGAGCAGGTCGGAGAGATAGGGGGGTGTCAGGACATGAAGGGATTTGAAAACGAATGTGACGATCTTGAAACGATCGGTTCGGCAATAGAGAGCCAGTGGAGCTGGCTAAAACTGGTATGATAGGGGTAAGGAGTTTAGTGCGGGTGAGTATGCGGGTGGCGGAATTTTTTAGTTCAGCTGGATCCTGTGCATGGTGGAGCTGGGGAGATCGGCAAAGAGGGCATTTGAAAAGTCGAGTCAGGAGGTGATGAATGCATGGTTTCGTTATGTGTTTCGGCTGCATCTGAGGTAGTGTACGGGTGGAAGTGGGCAAAGTGGCGGAGGTGGAGGAAGGCGGTCCTGGTCAGGGAACGCATGTGGGTCGAACCTGACGCTTAGGTTGCGCTGAGTCTGAGGGATAGGCCAACGAAGTTGAGGAGGTCAGAGCCGCAGCACACAAGATGTTGACGGGAGCCAAAAAGTATGGCTTCCATCTTGTCAACGTTTAGTTGTAAGAGGTTTTCGCTCATCCAGGTCCTGATGTCCTTGACATAAGCCGACAGAGCATTGGCAGACCTGGAGTCATAGCTGGAGGAGAAGTAGATTTGTGTGTCATCTGCTAACACGTGGAAGTTTACCCCGTGTCTGCGGATGACATCACCAAGAGGGAGCACACAGATGAGGAAGAGAAGGGGGCCAAGGATGGAGTCCTGGGATAAACCACAGGTGACCGGGCGGGGCCGGGAGGAGAAACCATTTGAAAAGACAAAGTGAAGGTGGTTTGTTAAGTTGGACTCAAACCTGACTAGTGCGGTAACACTAAGGTGGATGACGGAAGAGAGGCGGTGGATGAGGATGGTGTGGTCGACCGTGTCGAATGCAGCCGAGTGGTCCAGAAGGATGAGAAGATAGAGGGAGCCCCGGTCGCAGAGAGAGAGGATGTCGTTTGTGACCTTGACAAGCGCCATCTCTGTCCTGCGGGCAAAGCGGACACCAGACTGGAGAGACTGGAAAAGGGAGTGGAGGGAGTGGTGAGAGCAAACCTGGTTAGCGGAGCTTTGGCAAAGAAGGGCAAGATGGAAATGGGTCAGTAATTTGTGAGGTTGGAGAGGTCAAGGGTGGGTTTTTTGAGGAGGGGAGTGATGACAGTGGTTTAATGGGGAGAGGAACAGAACCTGAGGAGAGTGACTGGTTGACTGTATCGGCCAGCAGCGGGGAGAAGAGGGGGAGTTGAGTGACCAACAAATGGGTGGGGAGGGGGTCAAGGCAGCGGGTGGTGGGCCTCACCTGTAAGATGGTGATTGAGAGGGAGGGGGGAGTAATCGGGGAAAAGAAATATAGGGAGGGTGAGAAGTAGGGGCCATGGTGGAAGGAGGAGATGGTGTAGACGGTCTGGAGGGTGCGGATGTTGACACAAAGGAGGAGGATGCAGTCAAGTGGATATTTTCAATCTTTAATACAAAGAGGTCGAGGACCTCTTCGCACTTGGCGTTTGAAGTGAGGATGGAGGCAGCTTGGGGTGGGGTGGGGGGGGGTGGGGCGTGGCGGCGTATGTGGAGGATGTGATGGATGGTGGAGAACAGTGCCTTTGGGTTGTTTTTGGCATCCAAAATTGTTATGGAGTAAAAGGCAGATTTGGTCTGTGAGAGGGAGAGGCAATAGTTA